AAAAGAATAACTGTTAAAGCTATTGTATAATACTCAAAAAAGTGAAATTTGATCAACGCTAAAAGAATACATTAAAAGTATTACGATTTAAGTAAATCTGAACACTTTAAAATGCAAGATGAATGTGTATTATATTGTATATACCATCTCAATGTTTGCCACTATGATGTATGAATGTCTCTATAAAATATCAAGGTGAATCAGGGATAATGTTACAGGTTAAAACCCAATTTGTCTGGTGCACCATTGTCTCTCATCTTCACGATTACTCTATGAAATAGGTCATTTGTCCCTATTAAATAGGTGAGAAAACAGGTTCGGAAAGGCCACACAGCCAGTAAACAAGAGATTAAACCCAGACTTGTCCAAGCCTCAAGCCGCAGTTCTTCACACTCCACTCCACTGCCGGTCTGTCATGATTTAACCACAGACCCCAAGGCAGGGGAAAAAAGTCAAGACATTTTACCAGTTGAGGACTTCATCATAATTTACAATCGTCCATAAAATGTCATTGTAACATGCTGTCTCTTTATATTAAATGATTAAAGAAAAAAGTCTCAAAATTAACAGTCTGTTTCTAGCTTGGTCTCTCCTTCAACCTCCCTTTCACTGAAGCACAAAGAAAGATACCTCTGCCGTGTGTGTGTGTGTGTGTGTGTGTGTGTGTGTGTGTCTGTCTGTGTTTTGTCCACAGAAGGAATTTCTCTGCAGTTATCCTTTATGCATGTTTTTCTGCATGATGGCCAGAGGGATTTTGCACGTTTGCACTGTCCATGTAAACACTCTGAGGAGAAAAACAACCCCACACTGTAACCTAACAGGGAGAGAATTCTCGAGCACTAGAGGTCTGACGCTGCCGGGGTGTGTCTTCCACAGTCCATCTAGCAGAGAGCCCCAGATTCGCTCAGGGCCTCTGTGCGGAAAGGCCAGCACCCCCCACACAGCATCCAAGGGCTGGAGAGCCAATGGAGGCCACTGGTGTGCCGTGCTGGCTTTCAGGGCACACATGCCCAGGCACTCACACCCTCTCACACTGACATACATGCACTCACACTGTGCATAAACACAGACACATCCACACTCACATGTGCACCGACACATACAGACACACTCACACAAGTCCACACACATACTGACACACGTTCACACTTACACTTACAAACACAAACTCATATGCCACATCACTCACTCATGCATGCTCATTCACACATGCCCACACTAACACATGTGCACATATTCACACCCATAAGCATATGGGCATTCACACACACACACATTCTCGCCCTCACACTCGCACACACTCACATTCACTCTTGAATCTGCACACCCACACACATGCTTGTACTCACAATCACATTCACACTCATGTACTTGCACACACACAGCTGCCCACTCTCACAAGCACAACGCAGGAACCAAGGAAGTGCTTCCCATCCCGGGATGCAGCCTCTGCCTGGGCGTGTGCTACACCTCCTGTCTTGAGCGCTGGCGCCTGGGCCGGCAGCTGACCTGTTTTCTCCATCTCTAGAGGGAGCGATTTGAACTCAACGGCCTCCAGGGGGCCTTTCTCATCTCAGGTCAGACTTCTAGGACCCTATGTGTGCAAGCTCACAGAGGCTCAACAAGTCACGCTGCAAAATCACACGTCTGTCATTACCCTACGGCCAAAATGTTCACAGCCTCCTCTTCGTATCCCCACGACAGGCAGCCATGGCAACGGCTGCCAGGCAGGTGCACGGCAAAAAGAGGCAGGGCGGGAGAAGCCCGCATCTCCAAGGGGTGGCCAGGTGGGTTTATTTTCAGGGAAAGCTGGTTGTGTTGGAGAATGCGAGGAAGAGCTAGGGAGGAGAGTCATGCAATCAAAAAATGTTTTGGACTTGGAGGAGACCTTGAGTCATCCACCCCACCATCCAGCCCATCCAGGTGGCTCTCCGACAGTGGCCGTGACGTAACACCCTCTTTCTCGGGGTGTGGCTGGGGACCACCTGCATGGGGAGGGGAACTATAAAAAATGCAGGCTCCCAGCCTCGCCCGTCGCTCACTCAGGCACTGGAGCATGGGCCCCCGGCATCCCGGTGACTCGGTGCTCACACAGCCTTGAGGATGGGACTCCGTCCTCCTGAACACCAGGCCATGAATCCATGGGATGGACCCTTCTGTGGACAGATGGCTCTGCCAGAAAATTCCTCCCGATGTGGAATCACGGTTGGCCTTCCCACTGGAACGACCACACCCGAGGAGCCTGGTCCACCCTCACACTGGACAGTGAGTGCCACTCCTCCATGTGGCAGCCTTCGGACCCTTCTGGAGAGTTCTCCGGGCCACCTCTGTTTTGCTCCCCTCCCCCATCTCTCTCTCCCTCACTCATACAGACACAGGCCCTCTTGTCTTTGTTTCTGTTCGTTGCCGTTTCCGTTTGCCTTTGCAGAAGCTCAGCTTTCTTATCACAGCCCAAATGACTTTTCCTTTTTCACATTCTACTTCGGAGACTGTGGCCCTCCATGGGCAACAGTTGTGGGGTTGGATGGAAAGTGAGGGTGCGGCCTGGGGTCGGGACATTGTCTGCAGGCCCCGAGGAGCAGCGCGGGCATGCCGCTTTCTCGTGGTGAAGCCAGAGCAGAGCGGAAGGCGAAGAGACACAAGAAACTCTCAGAAGAGGTGCCCAGGCCCTCAGAGGTGCTTCTGTAACACAGCAAAGGTGTATCTAAGACCGGGGTGCAGTGGACATGCACATGCCACTGTGTTTTCAAACCCCGTGTGCCTCACAGTGGTACCTGGAGAAAGCCCTGGATTAGGAGCCAAATACCCTCGGTCCAGTCCTCATTCTGCCAACAGCTGGACAGGGTCCCCTGGGTGGCATTTATCCTCTCAGCGCCTCGGTTTCCTAAACGGGAAATTACCAAAAGGGAATAGTGATGCCTTCTAATTTAGTGGTGTTTTGCTGCCTCCTGATTTTATGAAAACCAAATTAATTAATGTATGGGAATGCCTTCTAGAACTGGAGAGTATTTTAAGTATCCATCATTTATTGTCATTAAATGTAGGTAAGGCCATTACTGGGGAAATATAATTACAAATAAAATGT